TTGGACATTCATCACAATCTAACAAAGATAGTCTATGTGCAGAAGCTGCCCTATAAATAAGCACCAAATATACATGTAGAAGCATGTGCAAGAGTGCAACCATATTTACTTGAGTACCATTCAAATGATTAAATGTTTTCTGATGTTTAATAGAATGCATATCCAAATACCAGGATGTGTGGCAAATTACTAGAATTGGAACATGACAAATAAATTGTCAACCCTGAAGCTGACCTGACTGAGGCCATTTTGAGGCTTCAGTGCTGCCACAACTGGAGCTAAGGGATAGGGAGGGGAGAGTAGAGATAGCTGGGCTTTGTAGCCAAAACAAAATACTTTCTCTTGGGAACCAAGGGCATTGCAGCAGGTGCTCGGAAGGAGGGGACTGAAGCCATCTAGCAACTGGACTGTATCCTGATTGGACAATATGATTATTTTGAGAAAGTAAAAAGTTTCTACTTTTAATTTGATGAAAACCACGGGAACGTTTAGTCTCGGTTTTCATCAGCTTGTGCCAATATGACATATCCAATAAATCTATTCTTTGAGGAATCTACCTGTTTTGCTTGCTGTGAGTATGTTACTTGGAACCTTGACATAAACATTATAAAGGGCCATTATGTTGCTCAAATGTGGAATCAATCCTATGTTGTCTGTTAATTTCCTTAACTTGATGACTTTCAGATTCTGCCTATATCCAGCATTCACTATTTTTTATCTCCACCTATCTGACTTGGCTATCAGATACCTCCAGACTGATCTCATTGAATAGGCTATAATGTGAATCCCTATATATAGGTCAGCGGTGGGATTCAACTGGTGTTACTACCGGTTCGGTGACTATGTTTTGCGTGCGCATGTGTGCTCTGGAGAGAGATGAAAAGCGTTGCGTGCAGGTGCACAGTGTTTGAAAAGCCTCTTTTTTCCTGCTTTTTCAACCTCAGCTATGCCACGCAAAGCAGCTGAGGTTGAAAAAGCAGGAAATAAAGGACAGGTAAGAGCCTGGGCTGGTGGGTGGGTCAAACAGCAGCAAACACAGAACTGGTTCGGTCTCTGCTGCTCTTCAGAGCTACCAGTTCTATAGAGCCGGGCAGAACCAGTAGCATCCCACCCGTGATATAGGTGGTATACTGAACAAAAACTTTGGTCTGTTTAAGCAAATTTTGAACCAACCATTTTCTCTCAGCCTGGTCTTCTTCACAACTTTATTATAGTGGGAATAAAATGGAGATTCCTGAGTAAGGGCCCTTCAGGTACTAGAAGGAAGGCACAATATCAGCCAACCAAAGAACTAATATAAAAAAACAAAGAAACAAACACCAGATTTCAGTGATTATTTATTTAAAATCTGCAGTAATACAGGTGCTTCTTCAGTTAGGTTCCGAGTGTAAAAAGAACAGCAAAAGATTTCTTTTGTATGCATTGCTCAGATAAAGACAACAAGTATATCAGTTCAATCAACAGGAGAAATGTCCAGGAATGTAATGAAACAATCATCAGTTGTTGAGAATAGCATGCAAACTATTTGTTTATCCTTGGGTTTTCTCACCAACCATTGAGGTAAGCTGTTTTTAAACCTGCCATCAGTTTATGCTGATACCTACTCTCTAGCCATCAAGATGGCTTTGAATGTTTTTGCTTGCAGGTGGAAAGGTCTATAATCAAAGCAAAGCTATATTCACATTCACTTAAAAAAAAAATTCTGGTGGTGGGGTGTTACCCATGAATAAATGCCGCTCTCTCTTTAAACCAAGTGAGAGGTTGCTTTACCCATGATGCTGTTGATATCCATGCATGCTTTCAGAAAGTGCTGTGCAAGAGGAAACCAGTACTCAAAGGGCTGACAAACTGAGGTTGTTAAAATCTAAGTAGATTCAGTATCATCATGCATTTATATGCATAATGACATCTGTTCCCTTCTGCAACAATATAGTAGACCCAATTACCTGCTGATAGCACAAATTGTTCACTACCCCAGTGGATATGTGCAATATGTAGAAAATAAACAAAAGCTACACTTTCTTTAGACAAAAAGCACCAACTGAAATAAAAAAGAAAATCCAGTCATGTAGATGATGAAGATTTGAATAAATGCAATCATTTTACCACAAGCTTTTAAGAGTATGAAACGCAGATATTTGGGGGTGGGAAGGAGAGTAGCAGGATTATTTAAAAACACTAGGATTATTTAAGCTATCTTTCCAGTGAGTTAATGTATACAATTTAATTTCAAATAGTTTTTGAAAATGTGATTCACAGGGTCATGAGGATTGCAGATGTAATTCAGATAACTTCCAAACCATGGCCAAATCTATGATTAAGGTCAGAGAAGATCCATGCAAGAGAAGTCAATTTGAGCAAGAGTGTTTATGAGTGTCTCATGTTGCTGGAGACAGAGGCTGTCGGCAAAATCTACTGTTTTGTTTCCATAACCACCAAAAAGCTCACAAATTGGGGAAAAGAAGGAAAGGCAACCAAAGTTAAGAGACTGAACTATCTCCCCTCTAATCACAGAATGACTTCATAAGGGGCACTTCCAAGTAGAAATCCTTGCTTATTGCAATTTGGAAACTACTGAAGTGCTCATTGTGAGCTTTTAAAGAGATCTCCAAATCAAAATATTTGCCAAAGGAGAACATTAGTTGTTTTTATGAGGTATCATCTAACCAAAGTACTTGTTTAGACAAGTACCTTAAACTTGTATTTTATGTAAGAATGCCAACAAAACAAGAATGAATGTTAGATATTGCTTGTCAGTGTTGACACTAAGAAACAAACAAAAGAACATCACTGCATCTCTTTTTGAAACTGAATAGGCTTCACCCTTAGAGGGTTCTACTGTGCCTATAAAGTTAATCACTTCTGGCAAAAAGTAACAAAATATTGATCTTCATTGCTGCTGCTCAATGAGAAGTTATACTGACTCTAGCTTTAGAATAAGTCTGCATCAAACTCGGCAGCCTCTTTTCGTTCTGAGTCAGAGTGATTATTGTCTGAAGTATTGAATGGAGTCCCAAATTAACATTTGTGACGTAAGCACACTTTTAGAAAACATTTGTATATTAAAACATGTACAAGATGTATTACAATGTAATTCTTTAAATGTACAATACAAGCCATATTTTGAAAGTGGAATTAGATTTAGTATGTGGGTCATCTACCTTACTGTGGGAATTCATGGGAAGGGGAGAAATGGCAAGACTGGTACAACAGCAACACACAATTATTGCCATTAATATATTTGAGATTGGATTCAAGTGTATAAGCATGGCATTTGGTTGATGATGCCACCAAGTATCTCCTTCAGGCTTCATCAAGATGATACAGGAGTTGGTATATCATAAATAAGAAGGGGTTTTTGGTGTCTAAGTAAGAAGTTGAAAAGTCACAGAGTGATGGAAAGGACTTGCAATCCTTTGATCAGAGATATAGATCTTGAGATCCACAGCCTTGTGACACCCATGAAACCGTTGGGTGCAGTTCCTGGTATCCTTACAAAAGAGTCATCAGCATGTCATTTTTAAGGTAACAAAAGGGAAACTGTTAAATATATTGGG